CCTATCCACTTCATGGTACCACCATTTCACTATTGCAGCAGGGTTCAACAGCTGAAGAAAACACACACACATACACACACACACACACACACACACACACACACACACACACACACACACACACACACACACACACACACACACACACACACACACACACACACACACACACACACACACACACACACACACACAAGGAAAACCATTTCCAAACAGCCCACAGTATATGCTAATGTACCCCCATCCTGTTTTCGCAAGAAGGGTAATTATGTGTCTAAAAAAATGACCTTTCACCCAGGATGTATAAAGTGTTAAAACAATGCCTGACCATGATCAAAACTGGTATGACATAAAGGAAGTACTGGGGAAACAAGACAACATCGCCTACAAAACCAGTTGCCCATATGCCAATGTTCTAGAATGTGCACACTCTGTTGCTATAATACAGCATTCAATTAATGTGGTAAAAAAGGGCATTGAGCATTTGAATCCTTGTCAGGTGCATGTGCGTGCCTTGGATGAACCACTATACACAATTGCTAAAACAATACAGTGGAACTGTCCTGAATTATAGGATGAACTTCCTTATCATGTTTGGTAGATGTGCATATGGAAATAGTTGCTTTCAGGATTCTCAGCAGCTGTCCCGAAGGAAGTAGATGGAAAACTGCAATATGTGCTGCTGGAAGTGGCTCGGGCAGATTTGCTGATTCCTTCATCATGTGTACCCATCTCACTACAACATCAGACATATGTGCGATATAAGGAAACAGAAGCGAACACATTAGATCCTTTCAGAAACTGGTGTGCACCGAAGTAAGCTCCTCTGCCCGTTTCACTACTGGCCCCTTGTTCTTGTGTATTGTGCCTGGTGTGTGCAATCCAAAAAGCAGATTTCCCAAAGTTTGCAGCATCACTTGTGATATTAATGGCTTGCATTTCGCAAATGTGTCCCTCTTACAGTAGAGGACGAGCACCGCTGTACTTAGAATATTGTTCCGTTGGACATTCTCTTGTGTGACACATGAACAATTCAATAGCCGTATGAAAGGAGATGGAGGTGCAGTTAGATTGATTGAAAAAGCCGAGAGTTTTCTTCTTGAGGCCCACGGAATTCAAAGACATTGTCACTATTTCATGCCTTCACCGGTTCATATGCTTGGGATACGTGTCAAGAATTTCCTGAAGTCACTAATGCTTTCCCATCATCAGCAGATATCTCTGACAACACAATGCAGATTCTTGAGTGGTTTGTCGTTCTCACTGGTTTATTTGGAAGGTCAATGAAAGGCAAAATCTCTGGTCATGAAGATATCAGACAATTGACATTTCAACCCAGAGACAGCACCAATGCATATTTGGGGACAGGTGCTTGACAAACGTCCAAAAACTACAGAATCTTGTTGTCAGGGGTTAGGAGAGGCCATGCAGTAATATATAGATACCCAAGTGGACAATACTTGGTCAGGCACAAAGAAGTGTTATAAACTAACACTACACCTGTAAGAAGTCTTGCAAACCTTTGTAAACTTTACACTGCCTGTCTTGAGTACAGTGCTATGGGATACTTTGCAGGAAAGTGTTCACTGTAAGGGAATTACAGTACCGTAAACACATACACTGAACTGATATTCCTCGTCCTACTTAAGTAGGAAGTAAGTTAATGTCGTAGGTTCATGCCAAAAATGTAAATAATGCTTTTACATTCATTCCTGTTTTTAAGATATGAATCCATTCCCAGATGAGTGATTTGGGGGTGATCTAAAATAAACTAGGTGGAACATTTCTCAGAAGTCCATTTATAAAATAATATGCCGAGAATAGATCATTGACAATACATATAAATTGATACAATGTCATTTAAAAATGTTTCATCACTTTCACTTTCATAAAAAAACTTATCAACTTATCCTTAGTCCAAAGATATAAAATGATATTTATATCTGCTGCAGAAATAGACAATTACTGAAAACTAAAACATATTGGAGGCCATGTTGGATTTTTGTCATCACCAGGGGGCACTGCATACCAGATTTGAATTGCATAAAGCATAGTTGCAATTGATCCTAAAAATGATACTGTGTTAAATTTGAATGAATTGACCAGGTAATTACAATAAATGAGTATAAACTAAAGTCATTACAGATTTTAACCGGCCATTTTGGAACATTATCACCACCAGGGGGTGCTGCATACTAGGTTTGAATTATATACAGGATTGTTGTGATTACTCCTAAATACATTACAATGATAATTGTGTAAATAGGCCAGATAACTATGATGTGTTGAGTATAGATTGGTATCATTAGAGATTTCAGCCATGCTGGCGGCCGTTTTGGATTTTCTACCAACAGGGGGCGCTGCAAACTATATTTGAATTATATACAGCTCTGCTGCAATACATTTCGCATGCATTAGTACGGATACATGCATAAATGGATCAGATAAGTATGATATATTGAGTATATGTTGATACCATTAGAGAGCTCAGCCTTGTTGGTGGCCATCTTGGATTTTCGTGCCAAGTGTGCCAAGTTTAGTGCTTTAAACCCAATGTATTGTATCTACCAATTGTATCTATGCCATGGTTCCCTTATCTGAAGACTCTAAAATGGAAGCCAACCCTTATTCAGTTTCCCCAACCCTGAGACACTTAAAGGGGTGCTCTACCCTTGCCCAGGTTCCCTAACCCTAATACACTTAAAGGGGTTCCTACTCTTGCTCAGGTTTTCTAACCCAAAGACACTTAAAGGTGTTCCTTACCCTTGCTAAGATTCCCTAACCCTAAGACACTTCAAGGGCTGCCTTACCCTTGTTTAGGTTCCCTAACCCTAAGACACTTAAAGGGGTTCCCTATTCTTGCTCAGCTTCCCTAACCCTAAGACACTTAAAGGGCTGCCTTACCCTTGCTTAGATTCCCTAACCCTAAGACACTTAAAGGTGTTCCTTACCCTTGCTCAGGTTTCCTAACCCTAAGACACTAAAAGGGGCTCTACCCTTACTCGGGGTCCCCAATCATAAGACACTTAAAGGAATGCCTTACCCTTTCTTGGGTTCCCTAACCCTGAGACACTTAAATGGTTTCCCTAACCTCACTCATGTTCTCTAACCCTAAGACACTTACAGGGGTTCACTACTCTCGATCAGGTTCCCTAACTCTACGACACTTAAAAGGGGCTCTACCCTAAGACACTTGCAGGGGTCACGTCAGGTTCCCAAACCCTAAGACACTCAAGGGGCTCCTACCCTTGTTTAGGTTCCCTAACCCTAAGACACTAAAAGGGCTGCCTTACCCTTGCTAAGGTTCCCTAACCCTAAGACACTCAAGGGGCTCCTACCCTTGCTAAGGTTCCCTAACCCTAAGACACTCAAGGGGTTCCTACCCTTGCTCAGGTTCCCTAACCCCAAGACACTCAAGGGGCTCCTACCCTTGTTCAGGTTCCCTAACCCTAAGACACTTAAAGGGCTGCCTTAACCTTGCTTAGGTTGCCTAACCCTAAGACACTTAAAGGGGCTCTACCCTTACTTGGGGTCCCTAACCTAACACTTGCAGGGGTCACGTCAGGTTCCCAAACCCTAAGACACTCAAGGGACTCCTACCCTTGCTCAGGTTCCCAAACCCTAAGCCTCTTAAAGGGCTGCCTTACCCTTGCTAAGGTTCCCTGACCCTAAGACACTTAAAAGGGCTGCCCTACCCTTGCTCAGGTTCCCCAACACTAAGACACTCAAGGGGTTCCTACCCTTGCTCAGGTTTCCTAACCCTAAGACACTAAAAGGGCTGCTTTACCCTTGCTAAGGTTCCCTAGCCCTAAGACACTTAAAGGGGCTCTACCCTTACTCGGGGGCCCTAATCCTAAGACGCTCAAGGGGTTCCTACCCTTGCTCAGGTTCCCAAACCCTAAGCCTCTTAAAGGGCTGCCTTACCCTTGCTAAGGTTCCCTAGCCCTAAGACACTTAAAGGGGTTCCTACCCTTGCTCAGGTTCCCTAACCCCAAGACACTCAAGGGGCTCCTACCCTTGTTCAGGTTCCCTAACCCTAAGACACTTAAAGGGCTGCCTTAACCTTGCTTAGGTTGCCTAACCCTAAGACACTTAAAGGGGCTCTACCCTTACTTGGGGTCCCTAACCTAACACTTGCAGGGGTCACGTCAGGTTCCCAAACCCTAAGACACTCAAGGGACTCCTACCCTTGCTCACGTTCCCAAACCCTAAGCCTCTTAAAGGGCTGCCTTACCCTTGCTAAGGTTCCCTAGCCCTAAGACACTTAAAGGGGCTCTACCCTTACTCGGTGGCCCTAATCCTAAGACGCTCAAGGGGTTCCTACCCTTGCTCAGGTTTCCTAACCCTAAGACACTTAAAGGGGCTCTACCCTTACTTGGGGTCCCTAACCTAACACTTGCAGGGGTCACGTCAGGTTCCCAAACCCTAAGACACTCAAGGGGTTCCTACCCTTGCTCAGGTTACCTGACCCTAAGACACTTAAAGGGGTTCCTACCTTTGACCAGGTACCCTTGCCCGAAAGCTCTAAACGGGGTTCCCTACTTTTGCTCGGGGTCCCTAATCCAAAGACACCTAAAGGGGCTCCTACCCTTGATCAGGTTCCCTGACCCTAAGACACTTAAAAGGGCTGCCCTACCCTTGCTCAGGTTCCCCAACACTAAGACACTCAAGGGGTTCCTACCCTTGCTCAGGTTTCCTAACCCTAAGACACTAAAAGGGCTGCTTTACCCTTGCTAAGGTTCCCTAGCCCTAAGACACTTAAAGGGGCTCTACCCTTACTCGGGGGCCCTAATCCTAAGACGCTCAAGGGGTTCCTACCCTTGCTCAGGTTTCCTAACCCTAAGACACTAAAAGGGCTGCCTTAACCTTGCTTAGGTTGCCTAACCCCAAGACACTTAAAGGGGCTCTACCCTTACTTGGGGTCCCTAACCTAACACTTGCAGGGGTCACGTCAGGTTCCCAAACCCTAAGACACTCAAGGGGCTCCTACCCTTGCTCAGGTACCCTGACCTTAAGACACCTAAAGGGGTTCCCTACCCTTGCTTAGGTTCCCTAACCTTAAGACACCTAAAGGGGTTCCCTACCCTTGCTTAGGTGACCTAACCTTAAGACACTTAAAGGGGCTCCTACCCTTGCTCAGGTACCCTTGCCCGAAAGCTCTAAACGGGGTTCCCTACTTTTGCTCGGGCTCCCTAACCTTAAGACACCTAAAGGGGTTCCCTACCCTTGCTTAGGTTCCCTAACCTTAAGACACCTAAAGGGGTTCCCTACCCTTGTTTAGGTGACCTAACCTTAAGACACCTAAAGGGGTTCCCTACCGTTGCTTAGGTTCCCTAACCTTAAGACACCTAAAGGGGTCCCCTATACTTGCTTAGGTTCCCTAACCTTAAGACACCTAAAGGGGTTCCCTATACTTGCTTAGGTTCCCTAACCTTAAGACACCTAAAGGGGTTGCCCTATACTTGCTTAGGTTCCCTAACCTTAAGACACCTAAAGGGGTTCCCTATACTTGCTTAGGTTCCCTAACCTTAAAACACCTAAAGGGGTTGCCCTACACTTGCCCAGGCTCCCTAACCTTAAGACACCTAAAGGGGTTCCCTACCCTTGCTTAGGTTCCCTAACCTTAAGACACCTAAAGGGGTTCCCTATCCTTGCTAAGGTTCCCTAACACTGAGAAACATAAACAGGATGCAGATATCAGTGGTGGGCGGGGTATCCACCTTCACTGTATGCTGATGTTGCTAGGTGTGGTAGCCATCTCAACTGACTGTAGCTTCCAGTGCTGGGTTGGGTATTCACTTTGGCTATTTGGGTGCGCTACTCGAGCCGAGGTTTGATGGTGGTAGGTGTGGTAGCCATCTCGACTGGATGCAGATATCAGGGGCGGTTGGAGTAGCCACCTTCACTGTATACTGATGGTGGTAGGTGTGGTAGCCATCTCGACTGGATGCATATTTTAGTGGTGGGTGGAGTAGCCAACTTCGCTGTATACTGATGGTGGTAGGTGAGGTAGCCATCTCGACTGGATGCATATTTTAGTGGTGGGTGGAGTAGCCAACTTCGCTGTATGCTAATTTTGTTTGGTGTGGTAGCCATCTCGACTTGATGACGATATCAGTTGTATGTGGGTTTTTTGTCACGAAATTCTCTTTGAAAACAAGAATACAGGTCCTTTCCAAACAGAAGTTGGCGGTTATTGCTGTACTTTTTAAGGAGCCCTAAAAAGCCCACTCGTGTTATTGAGCACATCTCGACTGAAAACAGACCGTTTTGTCACGCAGCAGGGTTTGACACTATCCTCTTCAGATCTTATAATCTAATATCATAAATTATATTTTTGAAGCAAACCCATTTAAAACGAAAGTCAGGGTCCTTTCCCAACAGACGTCAGTTCTTAATGGGGGGGGGGCTGTTGAGATAACCTCACACAGCCCACCCTCCTAATTCAGTACATCTCGACTGAAAATAGTTTGGCATAATCCACTTCAAATCTTGAAAACTAATATCCTAAATTATTTTTTTGAAGCAAAGCCATTTTAAACCAAACCCACTTTCCTTCCTTAACAGAAGTTGCCAGATATTGTTGTGCTTTTTGGAGAACTGCACACAGCCCACCATTCTATTTTGACACAACTTGACTGAAAACATGTCATTTTGTCACGCATCATGGTTTATTTCTATTCACTCCATATCTTGAAAAACAAAACTTTCCTTTATTTTTCAGGAAATTTTCATTTTACACAAAAGCCAAGTTCCTTTCATAACAGAAGTTACCATTTATAGTTGTGCTTTTTTTAAAACCGCACACAGCCCACCATTCTAATTCGGCACATCTCGACTGAAAATAGGCTATTTTGGCCTGAACGAGTTTGGCACTATCCACTTCTTATTTTGAAAACTAATATACTAAATTATATTTTTGAAGCAAACACATTTCAAACAAAACCCAATTTCCTTCCTTAACAGAAGTTACTACCTGATGCTGTGCTTTTTTGGAGAACCGCACACAGCCCACCATTCTAAGTGAGCACATCTCGACTGAAAATAGACCATTTGGCACGCATCGTGTTTTAGTACTTTCCATTTCATATCTTCAAAACCAAAACTTTACTTTTTATTTTTCAGGAAATTCTCATTTTACTTAAAAGCCAAGTTCCTTTCCAAAGAGAAGTTACCAGTTGTTGTTGTCCTTTTTGAAGAACAGCACACAGCCCACCCATCTAATTCACCACATCTCGACTGAAAATAGACTATTTTGGCTTGAAACGGGTTTTGCACTATCCACTTCATATCTTGAAAACTAATATCCTAAATTATATTTTTGAAGCAAACCCATTATAAAACAAACCCAATTTCCTTCCTTAACAGAAGTTACTGCCTAATGCTGTGCTTTTTTGGAGAACCGCACACAGCCCACCATTCTAAGTGAGCACATCTCGACTGAAAATAGACCATTTTGGCACGCATCGTGTTTTAGTACTTTCCTTTTCATTTCTTCAAAACCAAAACTTTACTTTTTATTTTTCAGGAAATTCTCATTTTACACAAAAGCCAAGTTCCTTTCCAAAGAGAAGTTACCAGTTATTGTTGTCCTTTTTGGAGAACCGCACACAGCCCACTCATCTAATTCACCACATCTGGACTGAAAATAGACTATTTTGGCTTGAAATGGGTTTTGCACTATCCACTTCATATCTTGAAAACTTATATCCTAAATTATATTTTTGAAGCAAACCCATTTTAAACAAAACCCAATTTCCTTCCTTAACAGAAGTGACTACCTAATGCTGTGCTTTTTTGGAGAACCGCACACAGCCCACCCTTTAATTCGGCACATCTCGACTATAAACAGGCTTAGTATATTGAAAACCAAAACTTAACATCATATTTGTTAGGAAATGCTCATTCTAAACAACAGCAGAGGTCCCTTCATAACAGAAGTTAACAGTTATCTGTGCGATGTTGGCAAAACCACAGTAGCAGCAGCAGTAGTAGTAGTAGTAGTAGTAGTAGTACGTGCTGTAGCTGCAGTATCAGTAGAGTATTAGTCATGGCAGTTGCAGCAGTAGTAGTAGTAGTAGGTGCCATAGTAGGAGTAGCAGTAGGGTAGTAGTAGTAGTAGCAGTAGGGTAGTAGTAAAAGTAGTAATAGTAGTAGAAGTAGCAGTAGGGTGGTAGTAGTGTAGTAGTAGTAGTAGTAGTAGTAGTAGAAACAGCAGCGTTAATAGTAGGTTCTGTAGCAGCAGTAGTAGTAGCAATTGCAGTAGTAGTAGTAGTAATGGTAGCAGTAGGGTAGTAGTAGTAGAAGTAGTAGCAGCAGCAGTAGGAGTAGGAGTAGCAGTAGCAGCAGTAGCAGCAGAAGGGTAGTAGGTGCTGTAGCTGCAGTAGCAGTAGAGTATTAGTCATGGCAGTTGCAGCAGTGGTAGTAGTAGTAGGTGCCATAGTTGGAGTAGCAGTAGGGTAGTAGTAGTAGCAGTAGCAGTAGGGTAGTAGTAGTAGTAGTAGTAGTAGTAGTAGTAGTAGTAGTAGAAACAGCAGCGTTAATAGTAGGTTCTGTAGCAGCAGTAGTAGTAGCAATTGCAGTAGTAGTAGTAGTAATGGTAGCAGTAGGGTAGTAGTAGTAGAAGTAGTAGCAGCAGCAGTAGGAGTAGGAGTAGCAGTAGCAGCAGTAGCAGCAGAAGGGTAGTAGGTGCTGTAGCTGCAGTAGCAGTAGAGTATTAGTCATGACAGCTGCAGCAGGGACAGTTGTTTTGATTCCTTTGTTTGTTGTTTAACGCCGCACTCAGAAATATTACGGATATATGACAAGACCAGACAATCCAGTGATTGACATCATGAGCATCGATCCACTCAATTGGACACGATGACATGCATAAACCAAGTCAGGGAGCCTGACCACCCGATTCCGTGAGTCGCCTCTTACGACAAGCATGGGTTGCTGAAGACCAGTTCCAGGACCTATATTTAGTAAACCAGAACAAGTACACAGCAATACATTACCCAGTGCCGACGCTATTCGTATCAGAAACACTAACAGTAGAAAAAATAGGTCTCCAATCCTAGATTTAAGTCGCACTGGTCGCTTCTTACAGGCAGTCAGGAGTCATTCCATTGAAAGACATGTATAAAAAACCGACACCTAAATGACTTACAAGGACAAATGCCGGTTTGTCTATGTGTTTGTCGAAGATATTCAGAACAAAGCAATCCAAATAAAACGTAAACGGAAATCGACAGTTGACAATTTAAAAAAAATACGAAATGCCAGTTGCCGTCACACAACCGCCAAACTGTCATAGCTCAACTCTATAGCCTTTCGAGCTATCTGCCTTTGTTTGGAAACAAATCGCCAGCTGTCGATTTAGTGCCTTACTCTGGAAGTGTGGTTTCGAATCCCGGACGGGACCCGAAAAAGTACTTTGCTAAGAAAGTGCTATAACAAAAATATAATTTGATTTTTCCTCCCACAAGATTGATTTACATTGACACGTAGCCTCCCACAAGGATGTACCAAGACTGTACCTAGCCTGTAGTAAGATTGTACCTAGACTAGACCAAAACTGTACCTAGCCTGTACCAAGACTGTACCAATTAACCTTCCTGTAACTAAACTGTAACTAGCCTGTACCAAGACTGTACCTAGCCTGTAGTAAGATTGTACCTAGACTAGACCAAAACTGTACCTAGCCTGTACCAAGACTGTACCAATTAACCTTACTGTAACTAAACTGTAACTAGCCTGTACTAAGACTTACCAAGCCTGTACCAAGACTGTACCTAGCCTGCAACTTTCCTGTAACTGGCCTGTACCAAGACTGTAAATAGCCTGTAACTAACCTGTACATTGACTGTACCAAGACTGTACCTTGCCTGTAACATTCCAGTAACTAGTCTGTGCTTAGACTGTACCTAGCCTGTACCAAGACTGTACATAGCCTGTGCCGAGACTGTACATAGCCTGTGCCAAGGCTGTACCTAGCCTCTACCAAGACTGTACCTAGCCTGTACCAAG